TAGCAGAAAACAAGCAGATGTCTTTGTGCTTCTCTCTTTGTTTTTAATTATTACGAAATGAAAATAGGAATTGCAGAATAAAAAATGAATAATATACTTCAGCCAATATGCCCTTAGGCAACACCAGCTTTTAGACGAATTTTCCATGTTTAAAAGAAGTACATCGCTTGTTGTGGTGATCTTGCTCTGGGGAAAAACATATCAAAACAAAAAGAGCAAATATCAAGTATCCGTATTGAATCAAATTAATAATAATGGCCAGAAGAGGTTTGATCAGCAAGCGAAACCAGAAAAAGAAAACAAAGGTTCCAGGTTTCAACAAGCACTGGTCAGCTACATTCATGTACTGAAAGAAGTAAATAAGCTAACAAAATATGGATAGAAAGCATATAAAAGGTGTAAAATGCTACATCCCACCCGTCAATAAACAAAGCATCACAATATCTCTGAAACCATTTCAATGTATTACCTTCTGAGATCTCTGTTTCCACATTTTATGGTTGTAGTAGTACTAGATTTCTGCAAGCCCTGAATAACAAGATCTCATTCATCGATTAGAAGGCAAAAAATTAACAAATAAATCAACAGCCAATGAAGTTTTAGCATCATTTTAGATTTAGAGCCTAGCCCATGCCAAGTACTGCCAAATCCAGAATTAAAAGAATAAATAAAAAGGTTTTTGACCCCTACCTGAACCTTTCCATTTAGGGAATAGACTGTGCCCTATAAAGTTGATAATTTTGAGAACATCCAGTTCCAAAGTCACTATTGTACCGTAGACATTATACAATCTGACGAAAATGGATAAAGTTCCATACTTGGTTAAAGATGTTCATCGCATTTTAAATATCTGCTAAATACCTTATCAGAATGATGGAAATATCTGCTAAAGTTCCCATTTAGGGCAGTGAACGTTGACTCTGCTGCAATGTGTTGCATAGCCCTCTCTGATGTCTTCAAGTGGAATTCCTGAAAACAGTGTCCAAATTCCACAAGTAAAACTCAGCCGTCCAACCTATTTCAATTGAAAGTTTCCCTTGAGAAGCAATTTACTGGATCAAAACCTAATTTTATGATCACTTACTTGAAACTCCGGTAAATGAGGGGTGCTTCTTTTAGGAAGTAACAATGAAGGTGCTTCAAGAATCTGAAAGAGACAAATAGATCAGCATGTCATACTTTCATATATGGGTAGACAGCATCATTTCATTGGAAACATCATACTAACTTATCTATTTAGTGGAAGAGCTTTGAATCTACGAACAGTTGATGTCACATTTTCAGGTTCTTTACTAGTTTTTGTCCTGAAAACAACCCCATCAAGTAGGCAATCAGATCCCATTGAGAGTGAAATTTGCTTCCATAACAAGTGACAACAAGAACAGAGGAGAAGCTGAAGTGTCATCAAACCAACCTTATCCTTTGTGCCCTATTTGCTGTTTCAAGATCAGGCTCTCTAGGGATAGTGAGCCTCAGCTTTGTCTGTGTTGCATTTCCTATGGTTCCATCCTGTAAAATCATTTAAAAGAACTTAGATTCTCTCGGGAAATACATGTAAAT